AATCAATTACTCCTGAAATCTATGGAAATAGCTTTGAGCTGGAGCAAGGATCTAAAACCAATGATATAACATCACAGGCAGCAAAGCTGTATACGTTACAAGCACTGAATTCTAAGGTAGGCAGAGACCTCACAATCTTAATTTGATACAATTGGATGTGGTAGAAAGTGAATTAGCACTTTTTAGTTTTGATTCTTTCTCTCATTACTCAGTGTGTGACCTGGAATAAGTCACTTAATCTTTCCAGAGCTTAGTTTTTCTATAGGCAAAATGATGTTTCTGGAACAGGTTATCTTTAGAGTCCTTGCCAGCTTTCAATTTCCAGGATTCCACAATTACAAAGTCAAGTTTACAATTCTGATCTGAGACTTTGAGCACAGAGCTGCCATAGCATGGCAGTACAGTGATAGTTCCACATTTTTAAGTATAGTAGAAGGGAGCAAACTAACTGAAGGCAGATCTGCAGTCAAAGAGACACTGCCAGGTTTAATTAAGGTCAGCCACAGTGGAATAATAAAACAAAATGATGTCTAACCATCCAGCAGCTGAAGAAAATGAAGAGGTCAAAGAATAATTTAAAACAGACTGAATTGCCTCACAGAAGATAGAATTTGTTTACTTGAAATATCCCCTCAATAATTGAGTCAAAAAAAGGATTCAACATGCTAGGATTTATTCCTCTAGGATACAAAGACCCTCCCTATAGGAGTGGGCTTATTCCATTATATATTTATATGATACATTCTTTCTTCTAGTTGGTACTTCATAGTACAAATAGGAATTCAAAAAAAAAAGTAGACACACCTAAAAATCCGACTTATTAAAAAATGGCTCCAAAAATGTGGAGAAATATTATTTCCTTCAAGAACATAGAAAGACAGAAAGAAATTACACTTAAATATAAACCATAGTTCACCAGCTGTCTATACTAAGAGGTGGAATCAGCACAAGTACTAGTGTCTGTAATAACACCCTCCAGTGGCTCCCATGGGATATCGCTACTATACATATTATTTTGTCACTCCAATTTAAAAAATACATGTATCATATTCATGGTCTGTAACAAACTTTTTTTTTTTTTAAATTCACAAAGGTATGCTTTCCCATGTTTAGTGTATTGTCATTAAATATTTCTTTCAATCAAATTGGGGGGATTGGAATAACACAACATCTAGTTAAGCGATTGCATTTTTCTATACAGTATGACAGATTAAAGTTGAGTCTCTGATTTTAAAAGCTACCAAAAAAAAATGGACTACCCAAAGTTTCTTTGACAAAAACACGGGAAAAAAACCTCACATCAAATGGTGTTTTTGATAAGAGATTTATGATTTGTGTAAAACACACAGCTGGATAAAAAGTGAAATATCTACTAAATCACTCAGATATTTTAGTTGTTTCATTAAGGGAAAAATTATGAATATATTATCATTATTATTATTAATTCATTAAATATAGCTTCAGCATAGTCCCTGGATAAGCTTTTAAGAAGGCTATTATGGAGGAAACACAGGCTTTGCTTCCAACAATGACATGCATGTAACAACTACAATCAAAGGTAGAAAGTGATAATTGCCATAAAAGACATACAGATCATGTGTCATGAGAGTCCAGACAGAGGAGAGTTTGCTTCTGATTGGGAAGATGAGGAAAAGGTATGAAGCAGGTGCTATCTGATCTGGGCCTTTACTGATAAGTATAATTTAGATATGAGAAAGGGACGGGGCAGAGGAAGACTTCACAAAGTTGGAAAGAACGGGCTCAGTTAAAGCTCAGGAGAAAGAAAGTGAAACCAAAGGGAGCCAGAGTGGGTGGTGTTAGCGGGCTTCAATGGAAAGCATTGGAAGGAGAATGATAGAAGATACATTTGGAAAGGAGCGGATGATAAATGACTTAGAGAGGCAAATTAAAGAATTTGACTGAAATCATGAGATGACTTGAAATTATAAAAGCTCCAAACTCCAATATTAAGTCCTGAAAGCAATTCATTCATTTAAAAGTTTGCAATAATACAGATTTAGCTCAATTTAATAGAACTGATGCTTTCTTTTTTGGAGGCTGCTTCAAGTCAAAGAAATTAATAAATACACATATTTCAAGTATCTGAAAAAGAACTATTAAAATATTTGAATTCTTAGTACCAGCTTATGAAAACCTCTGCATTTCTGTATTTTTAAACACATTTTATGTTATATAGATATAGCCCTGTAAAAAGGGAAAGATTATGAACATTTTAATTGAATTCATTTTCAGAAACTAAACAAATGTCAGGCTGTCTATCTCTATCCTACACTTACGTGCCAGGTTAAGAATAAAACTTCAGTCGAGCACCAGATGTTTTATTAACATAAACATATTATTTATTAACATAAAGCTAAATATCTAGATTCATTTGAATTATTCACCCAGTGTCTAACTACTCAAAATTTCTTTAGAATCAACCTTACATGTAATTTTGTTTTGCAAAGATGTTAGGTAAACTTAGATTTATTCCAATATATGTATATGTTCCCTAGGTTTGGTTTTCTTTCTTTTGATATTTCTTATAAAATATTATTTGTTTGCATTTAAAGTATTGACAACACTTGTGCAGGCTTTCCAAATGAGATTTCTATTCACCTAGACAAGATGAAAAAACTGTCTTTCCTTAAATTCATTTCCAGCCTTGTTCCTTTCTTATTACATTGTTTCACATTCTGTACACATTTCTCAAATTTCCCAGAAGAACAGAACTAGAAACTACATCAAGTAAAATCAAAATTCACAAAAGAAAAGATTGAATATTTTGAAAAGTAAATAAGACATCATCACTATAATGTAGCTATTTTGATACATTGTGAGATTGCTTTTGTATGAAAAGTTTTAATTTAGTAAGGATAAATTGATTTAAAAATTGTCTGTTAGTTAAGGTCTGTCTTTGAAAACAGTACATTGAAATCTTCCAGTTGATGAAATTAAGGTTTTCCATTCAATATCATATTTAAAAATATTAGTCTAGTTGGTTGGATTGTATAATGTCAATCAAAAAGTATGACAGCTTTCCTTTGTCTACAATCAATTGACTAATCTGACTCATTATGTGATTGATTATAAAGTTTAATCTACTTTATAAATGTTCATAATTTTATATCATAGTCATATTACCTTTACATATTTTAACTCATTCTTTTAAAAAGTCTTTTCTTTAACACTAAATATACCATCTGAGTTTCTTCCACATAAATCAAAGAAAATATTAGACAAATATTATGACTATCATTCTGTTGCTGTAAATCTAGTCCTTTGGGTTACTAGTAATTCATTGGTGACTGGTTATTTAAGAGGATTCAGGCTTTTTTCTAAATAACTATTCCCAATTTATAGACACTTGATATATAATTGGCTACTTACTAAACATTTCTTTCCTTATTTCCCTGTTCTGGGACAGGGATCGTACTGTCACTGGAATGGATATTATGAAAATTCCTAGTGGCTTTAGAGAATCTGCTAGTCCTGAAATGGAAGAAGTGGGGAAAAGCTAAAACTTTTGCAAGATTTGATTGTGGCTAATCTGATGGTGAATTTCCTACCCTCAAATTGTTTCCCTCACAATGTTTGTATTTTTCACTTCATTTGATTATATTGGTTAAAATTCCACCAGATTTAGAGTCATTGTGTTTTTGTATATTTCCTTAAGAAAAATGTCGATACTTTAGGATCACTAAATGATTTATCAACTATTCACCCAATAGGGTGAATCTACCCAACTGCTTAAGAAATTCCTGAGTGAACAGAGATATATTTACGGAAGAGAGAGACTTCAAGCAGTTTTGCAACATAGAACACATCTAGAATTAGAAGAGAATTGAGGCAAATTCATTGTCAGGGACTAGATACTCTCAAAGCCACTAGGGAACAGCCGTGGACAGGCAAGCCCTGAAGAAGAGGTTAGGAGTATGGCAAATAAAGTCACTAGATGAAGCAGAGTGAGGTACTGGGCTCCTGCTTTATCTCACACCTTATAACCACCATCTTAGGAGGCAGGCGTTATCAACCCCCTTATTTTCAAACGAGGAAACTCAGACTGCTTAGAGTTACTTCAGCATCAGCTGGGATTCAAAACCAGATTAGTATGATCAAAGATCATTTTTTTAAACTCTGACCATGTGGCAGAGGACAAATAACAAATTCAAAAATTTGCATGGAGAAATTTTCCCCCCAAAATAAGAGGAAACACTTGCCTCCTCTTCATTCTTCTTGCATTAAAATTTCCTCCCAAATCTTCTCTAATCTAGAACTCTAACAATATGAGTACTATACACTTACTGCATAATTTATAGCACAAATTTATAACTTTTCTTTGGGAATATGGATTCTTAGTTTCAAAAAATCAAACTCATGGGATATTTGAAACAAGTTCCAGTTATACAGTTTATGGAAATGCCTGAGGGGATAAAAATATCTTCAAATTTTAAAAAACCTGCTAGAGATAGTTGGTAGAGCGACATACAAACAAGCATAACATTTTCAATCTCTGCTTGAAAGTATCTATCTATTTTGCATCTTTACTTCTCAGGAGAAAACCAAATTATTGGTAATTAACAGGGAAAATTTCTATCTATGAAAGTCTTTCTAAACTCCTTTTTCCAAAATTCTTATATGTCTGCCATATCATGATTGCAATAATGTAGAAATAAACCACAAATAATAATAATAATAGAATAGTTACCTACTATTTAACTCAGTTTAAAAATCAGCTGGTTTATCCCTGGAAGTGATTGTTTTTTACTTTATGTCCAATAAAAACAATCAAGTAGGAAAAAACAATCAAGTACTTTAGTGTTGCCACTGCACAATATTGGTTAAGGAAAAGAAAATGAAAGGCAGGTTAAGAAATGTGGAGTTCTTGCTGGAGCTGTTTCTTTATACATGTAAACGAAGAAAACTTATAATTATGCATTTGGAGATCGACGGGAGGCTGACTGATTGACTGTCGTGTTGACTCTTCCCACACCATGCAGCAAAGCCTACCAATCAGCGGCCTGCAGAAAGCTCCGTGTCCACCGGCTCCTCGGGCAGCAGCTTTGGCAGCGGGTATAGCGTGGACAGCGAAGGAAGCAGCAGCGCTGCAGGGGAGGCTAATCTATTTCCTATTCCAAGGATGTAAGTGGTTCTTTTTTTTTTCCTCACTACAAAGTTAACAGTATCATGAGTACGCTTTTCTTGACATTTAACAAGAGATAACCAGATAATTATCCAATTCTGAGTCATTGTCCCTGAAGCACTTCAACTGTTCATGCCTACATAAAAAATTGACAGGAGAGATGGGATTAATAGAGCTAATTCTAAGGATGAATGCTAGTCACTACCGGAACTACTTAATCAGTGCAATCTGTGTTTAATAGAAAAACAGCTAAAATAATAACTTAGCCATGCATGCCTGAATCAAGTTCAGCAGCAGGAGTAAATTCATGATTTCATCACATAACGATCAAACAAAAACATTGGTATTTGAGATAAGTATAGATTAATTTGCCTTGAATCACGAGAGATTTAAAGATATTTAAAGAACTTATATATCATATTTGAAATAGATAACACATTGGGCTATTCATGTAGCCTTTTCAACTATAAATCACAGTACAATTAAAAGTGAAGATTTTGGGGCCGTGGCCAAGTGGTTGAGTTCGAGTGCTCTGCTTTGGCCGCCCAGGATTTCCCGGCTCTGATCCTGGGCGCCAACGCAGCTTCCCTCATCAAGTCATGTTGAGGCGGCTCCCACAAGCCACGACTAGAAGGACCTACAGCTAAGATATACAACTATGCACTGGGGGGATTTGGGGAGAAAAAGCAATTAAAAAAAAAAAGAAGATTGGCAACAGTTGTTAGCTCAGGTGCCAATCTTTAAAATTGAAGATTTTGAAGTGTTTCCATATTTTCTAGAACATATATTAAGTAGTACATAGGTCCCTGAGTGGATACTTTTGGAATAAAGTCATTTGTAATATGTTAAGCCTCGAGAAAATCATACTGCAAAGAAAATACAAAACTAAAGCGGATTGTGTTTAGAATGTATTAGAATGGGTTTAGTCATACTAGGGGCAAAATTTAGCAGCATCCAAGATAAATATGAGGTTATGTCTGCTCCAATATCAAAATCTAAACTTCCCCATCTTCCCTTCTCTCCAGAACTAGTTTTCTGGGTTTTCAAACCATCATTGGGCCACCCAGCTCCAGGATGCAGCCTGCTGTCTGGTTTTTCAAGGTCTGGATGCTAAAGATGGCTTCTGCATTTTTAAGTGTTCAAAAAGAAAAAACAAGAATGGCATTTTGTGATAAGTGAAAATTATATGAAATCGAAATTTCAGGGCTCATAAATTAAGTTCTGTTGGAACACAGCCACACCCATTCGCTTATGTGTTGCCTAATGCTGCTTCTGCCCTGTAGGGGCAGACTTGAGGAGTTGCAACATAGACCACTCAAATCATGTACTATCCGGTCCTTTAAAGAAAGACTTTGGAGACCCCTGATCTGGGCCCTTGTTAAAGGGTCTTTTTCATTTTCTCCATTATTGAGTGAAGCCTTTTCTGGGACTGGAGCTATTTCTCGTTTTGATGTCAGGTTTTTATAACTCTTTCCTTTTGATCCCCAGAATAGTTCTTATATTTAGATAATGGCTTAGTTTACAAAAGCAAAATAATGAGGAAAATGGATTTGTACAGTGAAAAATATGTTTATTTTGTGATTTTTCAATTGACATTTTTCCTGCTTAAATTGATTAATTATTGGATCACTTGTCCATCTATTTTTCTTTTTTTTTTTTTTTGAGACTTAGGCTATGGATTCAATAGAGTTATCTGTATTCAGTCGGTTTTTTCTAATTGGAAATTATTTGTAAAAGGAGTCTGATCTCCTTATTCCTTAGCCTCTGATGATCCAGTTTGACTGAAAGGAATTTCAGCAAATTCATTGTATTCCTATCTCTAAACTGTAAATATCACATGAATTTGTAAAAGCTTGGCACCACACATCGCTTAATACCCTTCCAATTTATCTATACCTTTCAAAACACATCATTTAATACTGATGAAAAAGTTATAACTTAATATAATGTATTTGAATGTCTGAAGTAGAAGTAGATTATGTGTTTTTTTACATACACACAACGTTCCAATTTTGTTTTTTCCTATTTTCCTGCTTCTCTTGTAAATCAAAGCCTTTCAAAACTGCCTAGGAGGCTATTGTTTTGCCATATGAGCACAGAGAAAATTCCCTTTTCTAGTATTACAGGATATGTGTAAGAAGCAGTATTTGGTAGTTCTGTTACATGACCCATGGTGTCTAACACAATTATTGCTTGGGCTAGCATAAGTGTTCAATAACTATTTGGTGATTGACTAACAAATATAGATTATAAAGTGTATAGTCAGAATGTTTTTGAGCTAACAATTATTTATTAGGAATCCTGAAAAATTGCATCCTTCGCACGACCCACAGTTACATTTCCTTTGTACTTCATTTAGATTCACAATGCTGCAAATTTTTCTGTATAATCTTTGAAATGCATCTAATATACATTTTGGCTAAGTACCGAAGGTTAAAGTCAGTTTTCATAGAAGCAAAGGCTGCAGCTGAATATCACCATTAAAATTCAAAATCTGGGACTCAAGATCAAATGAAAATTATTGAAAATTTATTTTCGTTACAATTACTGAAAATAATGACTTTGTTAAAGTTTGTCATAGTATAGGATAGTAATTTTTCAGCACTTTCATTTGCTAGGTTAGCACAACTAAGATGATCCTCATTGTCAATTGAGTTTCTCAGTAACATATCAAGACATATCAAGGCATATCAAGACAGCTACTTGTCTTGACTCTCACTGAAGCAGTTTTACAAATTGAAGTTTCGTGCATTGCTTAATAAAGACTTTTTTTGTATATATTCAGACACAGACTATGTGTACGTATATGTGTATTTGTGTGTATATATATATTTCTAACATTTTTGCATATACTTGTTCCTTCACATAGCCACTTAATAAAAATTTGTGTTTAAACCTTTGACCTAGAATTGTCATAATGGAACAATGTGACGGCTTTCAAGATAAAATAATTTCTGAATTTACATCTGTTCCTCTTTCATTATATGCAGAACCATTTCAATAGAATGGTAAGAGGATCTTTAAAGCAGTTTTCAAGTAAGATAATTGAATTCTTAAGAAATAAGTATAGTTACATTTTCAGTGGGTTCAGCAAACCAAATATTTTTGTGAAAGTAAGAAATAATTATTAGTAAGTCCTGCTATGTTAAAATTATTGCCTAGAAAGTGTAATATCAAAACGTTCTTTTGTTCATGCACCCTCTTTAACACTTAAGGGCTTTTATTCCATCTTTTTAGAACATCTTGGATAAATATATATAATAGCAATGCTGAAATCTTTTGTGTGCCACGTAGCTTTTCCTCTGACTGAAGAAATAAAAAGTGGCCTATAGTCTTTTGGCTGTTATGTTCTCAGTATTCTGAACCCATAGTGCTCAAAGTATCATGAATTCTTCATCTATTTGGCCTTTCAGAAAGTTTGAGGCTGAAATTAAAAGCGAGTGGCAGACTTTGTCTGAATTTTAATGCCATTATGTGCATAACTATCTATTAATACTTTATATTTATCGAACCTTAAGATGCTTCAGGCACCAGTAAGCACTTTATATACACTTTCCATGTGATTATTTCATAACCAAAAAGTAGTTAATATTACTATCTTTACAGTACAAAGGAAGAAATAGTCTTCACCACATTAAGTAGATTTGCCTTAGATATAGCACGAAATAGCAAAGCCAGAAGCAGAGATCAACTAGTCTAACTTCAAAAGCCAATATGATACACACAGCTGAAAACGCAGGAAGGATCAGAAAGAAGGTCACTAAGTGAAATAAAACTCTGTATTATTACAATATTATTTTTATGTTATTTAATTCAAAATTTTCCTCCTCATCAAAGGATCTATAACAACTCATCGTAATGAAATCTGAAGATATAAAAACCCTTCTCACTTCTTGAGCTAAAAATGGAAAAAAACAACCCTCTAATTCTAAAACAAAATCTGAAAATTTCATGATGGTCTGATCTTTGATAAATGAATCAACAGATAAGACACTGAATTTTGAGGTATTATGTTTGGACTAAGTAGCAAAAATAAAGTTCCCATTTTAAAATTAACATGATATACAGAAATTTACTGTGTTAATATTTGGCATTCAAGTAATTTATGGCAGATCCGAATATGTAATGTCATTCTATTTCTGTGAACTCAGCCTCCTCATTTGCATTTAGGAGATCATTATTGAATACATAACCTTTTATTTTGTTTATAACAGAGGGAAAATGGGGCAGAATGGACAAGAGCCTGTGAAACAGCCAGGAGTAGGAGTGGGACTGGCAGACACTGAAGGTAAGTTAAAATTCACAGCACTGGATTTGGTTGAATCTATATGCTACACTCTAAGTGTTTGATTTGTTTTCTTTTAACATGAAATTAATTTCTAAATATCAATGGTAAAAGCACTAGGAAGTAAGTCATCATTATCTATGTTATCTATTAAATTAGAATGACTTTGCGACCTCATTTAACAATTCTCAATTTCCTCATTCATATTTAACATTTAAGTACTTTGGGATGCTAAAAATTTTAAAGAGCAAGAAGAATGAGAAGGATGACAGGAAAGAGACTCGGAAGACTTTCTCAGGGAAAAAAATACCTTCTTGAAATTAAAAAAAAAAAAATTTCATTTAAAATACTATGCATATAGAAATTAAATCATGAAACTTAACTTAACACAATGGAAATTCTTAAATATGTGGAGCTAGGAAGAAGCCAATGGTGTAAAAATCATTTTATAAAAAACATAATGACTGAACTAACTTCTAAGGTGAAAATCTAATTTGAAATTAAATTTTGTATTATTAAACGAATGGTAAATGTATTACAAAAATGCCAAAAATAATCCTTAACTTCAGCAAACACATAATTAGCATCTGTAAGATACACAATGAGTAGCTTCTCTTTCATAATATTGTGATAAGATCTGATAGCACTGTTACGCTTCATGAACTGTACTAACCTGCCAACCATTTTAGCTATCCTAATGACTACACTCTTCTAAGTACTGTTCATATATTATCTCATTTAATTCTTTTTTTCCCGTTTTATTGAGAAATAATTGACATATGTCACTGTTTGATTTACATGTACTGTGAAACAATTACCACAATAGGTTCAGCTAACATTCATCTTCTCATATAGATACATACAATAAAAAAAAAGAAAGAAAAAAATGAAAAAAAATTTTCCTTTTCATGAGAACTCTTAGGATTTACTCTCAACTACTTTCCTATATATGATACAGCAGTGTTAGCTATAGTCATCATGTTGTACATTACATCCCTAGTACTTATTTACCTTATAACTGGAAGTTTGTACCTTTTGACCACCTTCCTCCAATTCCCCCTCTCCCCACCCTTTGCCTCTGGTGACCCCAAGTCTGATCTCTTTTTCTAGGAGTTTGGTTTTCGTTGTTGTTGTTGTTGTTGTTTGTAGATTCCACATATAAGGGAGATCATACAGTATTTGTCTTTCTCTGTCTCACTTATTTCACTCAGGATAATGCCTTCAAGGTTTATCCATGTTGTCGCAAATTGTAGGATTCCCTCATTTTTTATGGCTGAATAATACTCTATCATATATATACCACAATTTATTTATCTATTCACTCATTGGTGGACACTTCAGTTGCTTCCATGTCATGGGTATTGTAAATAATGCTGCTGTGAACATGGGGGTGCAGATATCTTTTCAAGTTACTGTTTTTGTTTCCTTTGGATATATTCCCAGAAGTGGAATTGTTGGATCATATGATAGTTCTACTTTTAATTTTTTGAGGATCCTGTATACTATTTTCCATAGTGGCTGTACCAATATACAGTCCCACCAACAGGACACAAGTTCTCCCTTTTCTCCACATCCATGTCCACAATTGTCTTCTCTGGTGTTTTTGATGATAGCCATTCTAACAGGTGTGAAGTAATATCTCATTGTGGTTTTAATTCGTATTTCCCTAAAGACTAGTGATGTTAAGCGTATTTTCAGGTACCTGTTGGGCTTTTGTATATCGTCTTTTGAGAAATATCTATTTAGGTCCTTTGCCCATTTTTTAATTGGGTTATTTGTTTTTCTGCTATTGAGTTGTATGAGTTCTTTATATATTTTGGATATTAACCTCTTAGCAGATATATGGTTTGCAAATATTTTTTCCCATTCTGTAGGTCATCTCTTCACTTTGTTGATGGTTTCTTTTGCTGTGCAGAAGCTTTTTAGTTTAATGTAGTCCTACTTGTTTATTTCCTATTTTGTTGCTTGTGTTTTAGGTGTTATATCCAAAAAATCATTACCAAAACCCATGTCAAGGGGCTTTATTCCTGTCTTTTCTTCTAGGATTTTCATGGCTTCAGGCCTTACATTTAAGTCTTTAATCCATTTTGAGTTAATTTTTCTGATTGTTGTAAGATAGAGGTCTAGTTTCAGTCTTTTACATATGAATATCCAGTTGTCCCAGCACCGTTTATTGAAGAGAATGTCTTTTTTCCATTAGGTGTTCTTGGCTCCCTTGTAAAATATTAGTTGACTGTATAGGCTGAAGTTTATTTCTTGGCTCTCAGTTCTGTTCCATCTGTTTATTTGTCTGTTTTTAATGCCAGTACCATACTGTTTTGATTACTGTAGATTTATAAGGTATAGCTTGAAATCAGGAAGTGTGATGCCTCGTGCTTTGCTCTTCTTTCTTAGGATTTCTTTGGCTACTTGGCATCTTTTATGATTCCATATAAATTTTAGGAGTGTTTTTCCACATCTGTAAAAAATGCCATTGGATTCTTGGTAAGGATTGCATTGGATCCATATATGGCTTTTAGTAGTGTTGACATTTTAACAATATTAATTCTTCCAATCTATGAATATGGGATACCTTTCCATTTATTTGTATCTTCTTAGATTTCTTTCATCGCTATCTTGTAGTTGTCAGGATAGAGATCTTTCACCTCCTTAGTTAAATTTATTTCTGAATTATTTATTTGATGCTATTGTAGATGGAATGAATTTCTTTATTTCTTTTTCAGAAAATTTGTTGTTAGTGTATAGAAATTCCACTGATTTTTGAATGTTAATTTTGTATGCTGCAACTTTACTGAATTCATTGATTAGATGTAACGGTTTTTTTGGTTGAGTCTTTAGGATTTTCTGTATAAAAAATTATGTTATCTGCAAATAGAGACAGTTTTACTTCCTCCTTTCCAATTCTGATACCTTTTATTTCTTTTTCTTGCCTGATTGCTCTAGCCATTCTATTCTATGTTGAATAGGAGGGGTGAGAGTGAACACCCTTGTCTTATTCCTGATCTTAGAGGAAAAGTTTTCAACCTTTCACTATTGAGTGTGGTGTTAGCTGTGGGTCACTTAATTCTTAAAATTGCCTCTAAAGATGAATAATACCATATGCTGGTCTTATATAAAGAGAAACTGAATGCAAGCATCATACAAGATAAGAGCAAGTGACTTGAATCCAGGAAAATGGTGCCAAATTACATGCTATTAACAAGAATGGTTAATGGCATGGTATCACAAGGACATTATATGGGGAAATAGGAAACCCTGGTTTGGGTTCAAATCTGGTCCTGTTACCTAACTGATGTCCTGATCTCTATCTTCAGAAACCTCATCTGACAATTGCTAGATCTAAGTGGTGCCTAAGTTGCTTCATGGACTTAAGTGGATATCACATTTTTATGGTTCTACTAGTTTTTATTTGGACTTCATTCAAAAACTGTTCTTCCCCTACCTGTTGCCATGTTCCTCCGGATTAAAAATCCACCTATCTCTTTCTCCACCATCTCTCTGCATACATTCAACTCTGGCTTATATGTTGATTAGTCCCAAATCTACCAGCCAAACTCCCTGGAATTCAGACTCAGATAGTGCATGTTCATCAGGCATTTGTGTCCAACCAAGAAAATAGAAATCACTCTGAGTATTTAAAATAGAGGAAACTTATGGCTGGAAATTATTATATGCTCATGAAAGAGGCTTGGAAACTGAGCAAAAGACAGTGAAGTAGCAGAAGGAAGCCAGTGTCCCTGTAGGTTGGAGGCCATTGAGAGCTCAAACCAGGATGAGCCTGTCTTTTTGGGAGCGAGAGACAAGGACGAAGCACAGCAAATGCCAGAAATGTATCTCAAGATAAACAAGGATGGGGAGAAATATCCCACTTTCTCTCTTACTCCCATTTGCCAGTCTCTGCCATTGCCTGATGAAATCCAGCTGGAAAACAACTGACAAGAGAGACTGGGGAACAGCCTAGGGAGCAGCTACTCTGAGAAGAGGGCTGGAGAAAGACTGAGAATGCATCTGAGGGCACAAAGGCAGAAGGCTGGCACAATATTTTGCCTGGAGATCCCACTGATGCATCAAACTGCATATGCCCTGAACTTAGTACACCCTCTTCTCTATTCTGCCTCCTTCTCCTACATACTTCTACCACTCACAGAATCTGTGCCTATTTATGCCATAATTTGTGTTTTCTTATCATTGTTTTTTGATTTAAATTTACCTACTTCTACACCTGTCTCCTCCATAAGGCTGAACAACTCTCAGACCAGAGCTTTGGTTTATTCATCTTGGTGTCCCTGCACTTAACAGAAAGCCTTACCCATAGAGTTGCTTCAAGAATGTTTGTTGACTGAATACATAAACAATATAATTATATATAAATGTGATGGACATTGATGTTCATGTGATTCTAGAATTCAAGTGTATAGAGAAGCAATTCACGTGCTGTTTTTTCAAAGTTTCAGCTGTTTAATTTCACTTCTCTTTTAATCTTAAAGTTTATAAATAAATTAGTTTAGTATAAATGTTAACAACTATCAATGAGTAGAAATTATTCATACCAGTCCCGCTTTCTTCTTTCATATCAGTCCCATATGAAACATGCTTGTTTTCCAAGGAGTTAATCATAGGCTACTTTGTACTTTACTTAAACTTATGAGTCAATATGTTTACATTTTAGTGAAAAGACCCTTATCAACAATCTCAGATTAGTTATTGAGCAGAGGGGTGGGGGTTGAAGATGGGAACAAGATGGAATATGTAATGTAATGTGAGTCGCTTATAGTCAGGTGTCCTTTTAACAGCAATATTTTGGACCAATTTTTTTTGACTGAGTTACTTCTCACATTTTGACTATAAACAAATTTAAAATTGACATATCTACATAAAGATGGGCATGAATAGTTCTATAAGAAATTGCTAATAACATGGAAAAGAAAACTGTAATGAATTTTAAACCTTTAGAAACAATTTTAAATTAAGAAGAATAGATAGACAAAGAATGGAAAGAAAAT